AGATAAATGCCCTTGCTATACCTATTAACTTGGTATGGTATTTTTATTGCTTTATTTTAAAGAATGGAAGAAAGTTTTTGTGAATTTTTTGAGTTTCTCTCAACCCATTATTTCCCTTAAAACTGTATGTTTTTCTCTTGTGAATTCTTCCACACCATGTTTAGGATCATGATTTTTGCAACTGGGAAGGGACTATTTTACTAACCTTGAGGTGAGAGTGGGGTCCCAGAAGTATTTTTGAGGACATTTGGTAATCAGACAAAACGTTAGTATGTGTTCACCTAAATTGTTAGAGTATTGGTTCTCTGAACCATTCTGCTTATTTGTCTCCAGATTCAACTTGGCTTGGTTGCAGCAAAGGCAGGGGCAATTTCAGTTATGTTATTAGTGCACGTTCCCCACTCTAAGTTTTTTGCAATCCTGAGAACTCTTCTAAGTAGCTTCTGTTCTAAGAACATTGGTTTCATTCTGATTGTCAGAGAGAATTACTTCTAACCCCACAGGGGTTACAAAGTTGAAGGATAGTCATCTCCGCTTGGAAGTACAAAACATGTTTTTTCTGGATTAGAATTTTGTAATGACAAAATAGAATGAAAAATAATCAGTCAAAACTGTTTAATAATTACTGCTCACCTATGTCAAAAATAAGGTGAGTGGATACCCACCATTTGGGCCAGAATATCTGTTAGAAAATAAACGGATAGGATGTAAAATGATGGGAATAATGGCAAATAAGTCTGTTATGATAGCTGGGGTTAACATTGTAGAGCAGCTTGCATATTGGGGAACTGCAAGCGGGAGTGCTGTGATCAAAGCGGTGCTTCAGAGGATCAGTGTGCAGCAGATGCAGATTGCAGGAATGCCTGCTCAGGACTTGGCCCCAGCCCTCACATGTTAACAGGATTCCTTGTCATTTGTTGTGGGAGTGGCAGAAAGGCCAGTGGAGAGGCTATTTTCATCCCCTGGTGCTGGGTTGGGGGTGGGGGGAGGAGGGGATGGGGAAATAGGAAGCTGAGAGTAAGCGGTGACACTGGGACTAAAAAGAGAGGGACAGATTTCTGAGAAGTTGTGGAGAAGAAACGGAGAAGGTCTGACAACCTGACTGAATTTAAGCAGGAAGAAGGAAAAGGCCATAGTGGCCATGTCAGGAGAAAGCAGGGTTCTATCCTGATGAAAATATTCCACAGGCAGTCTGGTGGAAGTGTTAGGTGCTACCTTGAGTATGTGGATTTGGGGACTCATCTTTGTGTAAATGGTAGTTGAAACTGTGGAATAAAAAGCAGAAGAGAAGAGGGCTGAGTGTACCTTCTGGAGCAAGGCTGCAGTAAGGAGTTGGGGAGGCAGAGTAACCAGCAGTTGGGAAGGTGGGAAGAGAAATGAGGGAAGGAGAGAATTTTGGAATCCAGGGGAGTGATTATCTGTCAAACTCTAATAGAAAAGCCAAGGAGGATGAATACCCAGCAAAAGAGTTAGTGTGTAGGTTGAGAATTCTTAGAGCTGATGGGATTGGGTTTATGTAGGGAAACTGGAGAGGGGGCCTTAATACCTTAACGGATCCTTATTGCCCTCTTTTTTTTTTTTAAAGATTTTTATTTATTTATTTGACAGAGAGAGACACAGTGAGAGAGGGAACACAAGCAGGGGGAGTGGGAGAGGGAGAAGCAGGCTTCCCGCAGAGCAGGGAGCCCGACGCGGGGCTCGATCCCAGGATCCTGGGATCATGACCTGAGCCCAAGGCAGACGGTTAACGACTGAGCCACCCAGGCGCCCCCCTTATTGCCCTCTTAATTGGCTTAATTTCAGGTAGTAGTGTGGCATTATGTTTAGAAGATTAATTTACTATATCATTTTGTAATTACATTTTTAAAGTGGGGAGAAGAGAAAGCATTATGGTTAGAGGTGATTTTATTTTATTTATTATTTATTTTTTAAGATTTGTATTTATTTGACAGAGAGAGACACAGTGAGCGAGGTAACAGAAGCAGGGGGAGCGGGAGAGGGAGAAGCAGGCTTCCTGCGGAGCAGGGAGCCTGACGCGGGGCTCGATCCCAGGACCCTGGGATCATGACCTGAGCCCAAGGCAGCCGCTTGACAACTGAGTCATCCAGGCGCCCCTCTTTTTTATTTTTTAAAGATTTATTTGCGAGAGAGAACATGAGTGAGGGGAGAGGCAGAGGGAGAAGGAAAAGCAGACTCCCCGGTGAGCAGGGAGCCCCACGAAGGGCTTGATCCCAGGACCCCGAGATCATGACCCGAACCGAAGGCAGACCTTTAACCGACTGAGCCACCCAGGTGCCCCGCCAGAGGTGATTTTAATGGGGAGAGAGCAGTTGACAACTTATTCAGAGCATGTATAGTTTCCATTTTTCATAGTTGAAAAATTTTTTGTTCCTTTTAATTTGAAGCAGTTTGAATAAATAACACAAAACATGTCCTTCCTTGAAAATGAATAGAATATGTCTCAGAGATGACATGTTGAAAATCCATTTATTACATTAATGTTATTTGAGTTTTTCATGGATATTTAAGAACTATTTATATGTAAGTTTAACATCTGAAAATAAGATATGTATAAATAAATATTTATTGCAAACAAGTAAAATCAGAGTAAAAGGATAAAAGTGTGGCAGAAATTCAGAGGAAGGAGAGATTATTTTCAGCTTTTTCTTTTTTGGTGGGGAAGGAGACTTGGGGAAAAGGTCTAAGCAGAGTTGATAAGGGAAAGGTGTTCCAGGTAGAAGAAACCCTGAGCTCAGTGTAGAGCTGGGGTCTTATTAGGGACATGGGACATTTTTGTTTGGCTGAAGTGTGTGCATGCAGTGGTGGGGGAAGGTGCTTGAAGGGAAGGTAGGGGAGAGAATGATGGAAAGATAGTTTGGGGCCAGAAGTTAGATGGCAGGAGTGTGAACTTTATTTGGAAGCAGGAGGGAGCCGTTAAACATTTTTCAACTTTAGAGAAATGACACCATCTAGCTGATGCTTTAGAAAAATGACTCGGGGCACCTGGCTGGCTCAGTTGGAGCATGGGACTTTTAATCTGGGGGTTGTGAGTTTGAGCCCCATGTTGGGTGTAGAGATTACTAAAATAATATACTTCAAAAAAATTGCACTTTGTTATTTGAAATTTTAGTAAGAAGCATTCAGTACTTATATCATCAGCAAAAAATGATAAATGTAAAAGAAAAATGCATCTGAATAGTACTATTTAGGCTGGATTAGAAAGTGAGAAAGTAGATAAGGAAACCAATGAGGGAGGCAGTTTATGCCGTATTTATAACATGAGTAAACCACAATCCCTGATTAGTGATTAGTATTAAATAGTGTAGTATTTAATTGGTTAAGTTTTTGGTCTGTTTTTTAAAGATTTACTTATTTTAGAGAGAGAGCGAGAGCGCATGTGCGTGAGCAGGGGAAGGGGCAGAGGGAGAGAGAATCCTCAAGCTAACTCCCCACTGAGTGCACAGGAACCCGATGCAGGGCTTGATCCCACAACCCCAAGATCATGACCTGAGTAGAAACCAAAGAGTCGGCTGCTCAACCGACTGAGCCACCTAGGCGCCCCAGGTTTTTGGGATTTTTACAAGTTTGGGCTTAAGTAGAAAAGGGAGCATTAAGGTCATTGGGCTGTCTTGTAAAAACCTAAGGCAGATAAGGTTCTATAGCTGGACTTCAGAAAGGTCTAGAACCTGTTGTTAAACCTCCCCTCCCTGCTCCCTCTACTTTATTTCTCCGGGCATTCTCTGGATTCTTTTTATTTTTTATTTGTAAACCTTATCTCACTAGTCTAACCTGAAGTTGGAAAATGTCCTTCCTCATCTCCTGTGTTACAGCCAGTGGTGGTAGTGGTGGGGAGAAGACTGACCCTTGTTCATGGTTTCAGATTCTCAGGGATAGGACTTTGATTTTGTTATGCTCACAGATGAACTTGTTTTTACTTTTTTATACCTAGTGCCAGTCAGCTGTGCCCTGGAGAGCATAAATACACTGTGGGAATTTACTTCTCTAGATTGGAGGGTCAGTTAAGAGGGGTCGATGTAAGTTAGGCAGAATTCCCAAAGGGTGTTTACTATAGTTATACATTTTGAATTTTTACAGTTGTTTAATGTATTGGTTGAAAGATAGACTACATTAAATTTAGAGAAGTAATGGGGAAATTGTGCAGAAAATTCCCCCCAGTAAGCTGTAGAGTGTGTTTAAATTGAACTAAAACTGGTTACCATTCTGGGAATATGGGGTATATGGACTGAGAGGAGACAAGAGTGCTAGGGTGCTGGAAATGTTCTAGATCCTGATCTGGGTAGTTTAGTGATTATACAGGTTTATGCCTGTGTCAGAATTCATCAAGATGTGGGACGCCTGGGTGGCTCAGTCGGTTAAGCGTCCAACTCTTGATTTCAGCTCAGGTCATGATCTCTGGGTTGTAAGATCGAGCCCTGCTTTGGGCTCTGCGCTCAGCGGGGGAGTCTGTTTGAGATTCTCTCTCTGCCCACCCCCACTCCGCATTGTCTCTTTCTCTCTCTAAAATAAATAAATCTTTAAAAAAAATTCGTCAGGATGTGTATACTTGATGTGTGAAAGCAGTATCTCAATTAAAAAGCTAGGTACAGGGACTCCTGGGTGGCTCAGTCAGTTAAGTGACTGCCTTCAGCTCAGGTCGTGATCTCCGAGTCCTGGGATCAAGCTCCACATCGGGCTCCCTGTTCAGTGGGGAGTCTGCTTCTCCCTCTCTCCCTCTGCCTGGCACTCCCCCTGCTCCCCCCCCCATATAAATAAAATCTTAAAAAAAAAAAATGGCACAGCTGACTTGTTTGGTTTATCTGCCTTTCCTGTCATCTAGATGCCCATATATCATTGGACATCAGTTAAGTTCTCTTTCATAGATAAATTTTTGATAGGTATTCATCTCTCACATAATTTTGAGTGTTTCAGAAATATAAATATGAGATTTTTAATACATGATATTAAAAAAGTAATGCTTGGTTTACTTTTTTCTGATTTAGGAGCTGTGACTGATGAGAATTAAAGGCCATGGATGAAGATGGACTTCAATTACAACCACAAGAGCCACACTCATTTTTTGATGCAACAGGTATAACTTGGGTCATTCTGCTTCCCAACTACCAAATTTGGAGTTGGCTATCAAGTGGATGAATTGCTAGACTCTCACATTGATACTCACACTTAGGTATCTTTTTATCCTGTCACGCCTACATTTGTTAAAATGAGCACATTATTATTCCTGTCCTTAAAAATGTGTTTCCCTCACAACCAATATTCATGTTCTTCTCCATAACAGCAGCGGTATTAAAACACCAGTGCTCTCTTCAGTTATTTGCATCTTGCCCAGTTACGGTGCTAAGTCCGGTTACTTCTCCCTTTGAAAATGTTCCTTGCTTACATCTCTTCATTCTACTTCCTCCTGCATAGACATTCTCTTTCATCTCATTCTTAGTCTGCAGTAACTTTTAAATTCTTTTCCTTACCCTTAGTCTCTTTTGTCCAGCCCACCAATTAGAATACATCAAAAAATAACGTGTAGATTGTGTCATTTGTCTGTTTTCAATTACCCAGCAGGTAAAGTATAAGCCTCAGGCCCTCCACCTTCTGACCCCATCCTACTTTTATAACACTGTCTCTCACAAGGTGACAAAAGGAGCCCTCTGCTTCAGGAAGACGGAGTCTTACCTCACTCTCCAAACTACAAGGACTCTTAAATTCATGAAGTTCTAAAAATAGAAAAAAAATGTATTCACAATTTCAGATTACCTGTGATTCCAATTATGTAGCATTGTAAAGTGATTATGCTAGGTTTTATAATGTAAAATGGTTTTTTATCACACTGGCTAGCTACCCTTATAAATAAAACGTTGACTAGTTTTCCATTGGACTTGAAATGATCATATTGCAGTATATTAAAGAAATAGTGATTAACTTTATCAGGAAATTAAATATTAATGATTTTAAATTTTAACTTTTCCTTCAATCTCTTAATCCAGTGGGGGTATATGTATTTTACTTAACTTGGAATAGTCTTTTAATTTACATTTGGTAACTTCAGTTTGACAATGATAAATGCAAAGGTATAATTCTCTCTTCATTAGAACATGAAGTATAATTGATGTGCTTGAAAAAGAGACTAAGCTCTTTGGAGAAAAACACACACTATTTAGTAGCTTAATCTTGCCACAAGTGAGCCTGGGTCATGGACTAAGTGGTGGATTGAAGGGCTGTTGCATTTTAGCCCTGATTGTTAACACTTACGGTGTTTGTTTATCTTTGAGCAAGTCACTTAATCTGTCAGGGCCTCCGTTTTCATGTCCTAATAATAATGAAACCTCTCATTACAGTTTTTCAGAACACTTCCCATACATTCCCATTTGATCATCACAACAGTCTTGTGAGGTATGCATGGCAGATACTACTGTCCTCATTTTACTGATGAGGAAACTGAAACTCAGAGGTTAAATGACTTGCCCAGGGTCACAAAACGAATAAGTGTCCAAACTGTACTCTCTGATTTAGATTTTATAATCAGTCTTCTTGCCACCAAATGCTTTCAACTTCATGTCTGCAAAATGGAGATTACAATGATCTGTTGCTGATGTTAATATTGAGAATATGGAAAATAAATGAGTATAAAGCATTTTGTAGAAGTCCTATAGAAATTAAAGTAAACATACTCTTTATTATTTCTAGATGTAATTAAAATGGATATTAACTGGCTGTAACATTTCCTACATTTTTTAATGATATTTTTGGCCCTTGTTGGTCATTCGTGTTTGTTAAGCAAAGCCATATGTCTCTGAGGACCTGGCCAGTGACACACAGTCATTGAGTTAGGCAGCTGCTTGGACTCAGCCTGGTTTGAGTCACATCCAGAATCACTCATCAACACACTAGCATTTTAGGTTAAGACTTTTATAAAACTTTGCTTTTCTCTAGACCAGGATCCAAGATACTGGATTTGTTTTCTTTTATCCTATGTTTTTGGCAAGGATATTTGATTTTGATTCCCATTTGTGGCATTCATTCAGATTAATATTTATGGAGCACCATAATCTGTGCAAACTGTGTGATCTTGGTGAAGTCATTTAATCTCAACGGGGCTTCAACTGATTCAACCTTCTACCTTTGTTCCTTAATTGCAGAGTAGACCAGAGTAAGGTTTCTTATATTCTGAGGAGCTGCCTGGGTTATAGGGGTATGGGGGGACAGGAGGAGGCTGGCTGGAGACGGAATACCCTGGTGAAGTTGGGGCAGGCCCCATTCCAGCTAACCTTGGCCTCCACCACTCCAGAGCAGCTGCACTTTATGCATCTCATCTATCCACAGAGACTCCCTAGCCAGTTGTCTTTTCTCCATAACTGTGGCCTTCTAGCCCTCTTTTCATTTATGCCCCGATCCTTTTATATCCTAGATTCAGAGGATAATTTCTAAATTTCTGTAGTCATAAATGGAGGATATTGGTGAGATACTGTTCTAGAACAAAGGGGGAGAAAGGGGTAAAGATGGAAGGGGTAAAAATAGAAGAGATACATGGGAGAGGTGGAAAGAAGAAAAAATAAGAGTTGAGGAGAAAGAGATGGAACAAGAAGGAGAGAGGAATGAAAACACATATATTGAAGGAAAATGGTGTATTTGTCACCTGAACTTGCATTACTTACTTTTATAACTATCCCTTAAGTACCTTTGCATATGGGATTAACTTTAGTGAGGCTAGAATTTTACTTTCATGAGTGTGTGTGTGTGTGTGTGTGTGTGTGTGTGAGAGAGAGAGAGAGAGAGAGAGAGAGACTGGCTCAATTGCCTTGTTTTTCTGTATTTCCGTATCGCTTGATTCAGGATGAGAATAAAAGTTCTTGTATTAAAAATTTCTGTTTCTGGTATGATTCAAAAATAGATCCCCTCTTTAATCTGTGTTAGTGTTTGAGAAAACTGAGGAGCTAGTCTGTTTTACTGGTAGGAATTAAATAACATTTACATTATTTGAGGTAGTCATGCACACCTACCTGAAATTTGTGATTTTAATTTTTTTTTTTTTTTTTTTTTAAGGAGCTGATGCTACACACATGGACGGTGATCAAATTGTTGTGGAAGTACAAGAAACTGTTTTTGTTTCAGATGTTGTGGATTCAGACATAACTGTGCATAACTTTGTTCCTGATGACCCAGACTCAGTTGTAATCCAGGATGTTATTGAGGATGTTGTTATAGAAGATGTTCAGTGCCCCGATATCATGGAAGAAGCAGATGTATCTGAAACGGTCATCATTCCTGAGCAAGTTCTGGACTCAGATGTAACTGAAGAAGTTTCTTTAGCACATTGCACAGTCCCAGATGATGTTTTAGCTTCTGACATTACTTCAGCCTCAATGTCTATGCCAGAACACGTCTTGACGAGTGAATCCATACATGTATCTGATGTTGGACATGTTGAACACGTGGTTCATGACAGTGTAGTAGAAGCAGAAATCGTCACCGACCCTCTGACAACGGACGTCGTTTCAGAAGAAGTATTGGTAGCAGATTGTGCCTCTGAAGCAGTCATAGATGCCAATGGGATCCCCGTGGACCAGCAAGATGATGACAAAAGCAACTGTGAGGACTACCTTATGATTTCCTGTAAGTCTTGGGGTACCATGATTGTCAGAGGTATTTTTGAAGGCTGTCTTTCCTAACTTACATCAGGGGTGAAATTTTCTTGACTTCTATAAAACTAAAGTAAATCTCGTAGACCTGCCTGCATTATTGTTTCAGTTTGGAGCCTGTAAGATAACTCAAAATTAAGAAAAGTGAAATGGTGCAGAGTAAAGAGCCATTTCTCTATAAGGACACAATAGAAAGATGAGATTTCTTCAGTCTAGAAAGACAAAGACGGAAAGGAGTAGAACTGAACTTTCTGAAATCATGAAGGATGTGATTAGGCTGTTACAAGCCTTTATTAGAATTAGGAATCCTCTTGAAACTAAAAAGGAGTTCAACTTGGAAAAAATGTATAACCAAACTACTTATATTCTTGTGTATGGATGTACGGTGCTACTTCTGTACTACTTATGTGCTTATTCTGCTTACATGTAAAATGCCATTTATATAACAGATAGCCTGGAGAAGAGCTCTGGCGTAGTGTTGAAACTTTAAATGATTCCAAAACATGATTTTCAAGTATGATGGACTCATAGTAGGTTATTGAAGAAAAGTAAGATGTTTTGGAACACACTTGAACATTTTTAACTTAACGTCTGGAAGGATAGCTGTATCTTCTTACAACATATTTCTTGGTACCACTTTCAGAGATAAAATCCTCAATTGGATAGACCACAGTTCTGACCCAGTATGGGGATTCTTGTACCTTTAGGAACTAAACTTCAAACAAAGACTCACAGACTATTTGCTTATATAAATTCACAATTTGCTTTGCTTGAAAACCTGTTATAATAGAGGAATTTCACATAGCATATATTGGAGTCCACCAGCATTTTAGGAAATACCTTTTAAAAGTTCCAGATTTTGGAAATCCGAGAATTCTTTGTGTGAAGAGGAAGAAAACGCCTTCATTCAACACATGTGTTTGGGCTCCCTACTCTGTGTTAGACATTGTTGTAAGTAGTGCAGATATGGATAGGTGATAAATAAAAAATACATAAAACCATTGTCTTTAGAGAGCTTACGGTCTACTACAGGAGAGAAAGAGAGGTTGCACTGTGATGCAGAGGCGGGACCAAGTTGCTGTGGAGACAAGATGGAGTTGCTGACCTTTGAACTCAAGGATGAGTTCTAGTTTTACCAGGTGAAGAAGGGCATGAGTTGGGAGGGAGACATTCCAGGCAAATTGTATAGTATGTAAAAAAAAAAAAAAAAAAAAAAAGTCTGGCCTTTGCTGGGAATGATGGGAACTTTAGGATATACTTGTATATCTTTGTGTACTTCCTGGTGAATTCATTAGAACAAATTTCTTGAAATAGAAGTGCTAGATCAGAGGGTGTACACATTTATAAGTCTGGTGATATTGCCTCAATATTTTGCCTAATAATAACTCCCCCACCAGGTTTATGAGAAGGTCCATTTCCCTACACAGCTGACCAACGAGGGTATTATTTTCCTTTTTAGTTTTTGCCAGTCTCACAGGGGAAAATATGATAGCCATTTGAAGTTTGAATTTATTTTAGGAAGATAATTTTGGTAGTGATACAGAATAAGAGTAGATGAGGGAGAGACTAGTGGTAGAGGTTAGTTGAAATGGTTCATTTATGAGATAAAGAAGATCCTAAGTACCTTCATAGGAATGGGGACAGAAAGAGGGCACTAGATTCAAGAGAGTTTAGGAAGTAAAATGAATGAGATTTGGTGACAGATAGAATAGGGGTGGGGATCTGAGGGAGAAAGAGAATTCATGGAGGACCCTAAGGTTTCTACCTTGGGGGATTGGGTGCTTGGTCATGCTATTACCTGAGAGGTGGAGATTTGGTGCAAAGAACATGATTTAAGACCTGTTAGAAGTTTGAGTTGCTTGCTGGGGACAATCTGATGGATGTTTTTTCTAGGCAGGTGATAATATGAATTCGGTGCTTTTGAGAGAGTTTGTGGCTAGAGGAAGAAATTTGGGACAACAAAATATAGATAGTATTTTATGCGGAAATGGGTGGTTGTTCCTCAGAGAGTACTTGTAGAATAATGAGTATGGATCCTTTAGATATTTAAGAAGTACGTGGAGGAGGGCGCCTGGGTGGCTCAGTTGGTTAAGCGACTGCCTTCGGCTCAGGTCATGATCCTGGAGTCCCTGGATCGAGTCCGGCATCGGGCTCTCTGCTCGGCAAGGAGTCTGCTTCTCCCTCTGACCCTAACCCCTCTCATGTGCTCTCTCTCTCATTCTCTCTCTCTCAAATAAAGAAATAAAATCTTTAAAAAAAAAAAAAGTACATGGAGGAGAAGAGCCCATGAAAATCAGGGAGTTTTGGGAAGCGGAGGAGAAAAATCTTTAGAGAGTATTTTTAATACTGTTAAAGATGAAAATAATTTCTAGAAGTGTCATCACTGAAAAGAGAATGGAGCTGTTCCATCGAGCAATTAGGAGGTCATTTGTATCTTAATTAAAATAGATTCAATAAAGCAAGGGCCAATGGAGAGGAGATAGAAGAGATGAACCATAATGGATTGAGAAGTTGGTGGAAGTGAAGTAGGTGAAGCAATTTGTATAAATGGCCATTTTGGTCAGGGAAGGGACAAAAGAGGCAGGAGTATAGCTTTGATGTTTGGCTGGATTGTGAAAATGTGTTGAGCATACTTATATAGTCTTATAGGTGCAGGACACAAACCATTGGATAGAGAGACTAAAGATAAGGGAAGGGTTACCAGATGGAGCAGTTCCAGAGAAGGGGGAGGCAATGAGGTCCAGGGCAGCAGTGGAGGGCTGTTGGGTGAGGCCTAGAGAGGAAGAGTAAGTACCTTCTCTGAGACAGAGGCAGTAAAAGGAGCTTTAGAATATTGGGAGCAGGCGCCTGGCTGGCTTAGTTGGTAAAGCATGTAACTCTTAATCTCAGGGTTGTGAGTTCGAGCTCCACAGTGGGTGTGGAGATTACTTAAAAATAAAATCTTTAAAAACAAATAAATAAATAAAGGGACACCTGGGTGGCTCAGTCAGTTGGGCGTCTGCCTTCTGCTCAGGTCATGATCCCAGGGTCCTGGGACTGAGTCCTGCGTTGGACTCTTCGCTCAGCGGGGAGCCTGCTTCTCCCTCTGCCTGCCACTCTCCCTGCTTCTGCTCCCTCTCTCTCTCTGACAAATAAATAAAATATTTAAAAATAATAAATAAAAATTAAAAAAAAAATGTTGAGAGCTATTTTCTTTGTGCAGCAAATTCCTCTGCCAATATAGGATGTACAGAGGTTGTGGGTGGAAAGCTGAAGAATAGAGGTGAAGAGTTGAAAAACCTTAGTCTTAAAGGGAGGGACCAGGGCAGGAAGCTTAAGAATTTACAGGATAGATTATTTAGCTGCATTGAGGGGCCAGCTGAGATTGGGAGTCTTCAGTTTGTATGTCAGATGTGCCATTCAGTATGAAAATACCATTTTGAAATACCACTGCCAGATTTTCTGTTGCAAGACCAGGCAACCCAGAGGCAAGGCTGGAGAAAGTAAGGAGTTGGGTTCATCGTGCTTTATGAGGGCAGGAGGATCTGGTGAAATATTTAGGCGAAAGCACTCTTGGTTCTCCTTGACTTCTCTTTTCACTTAAACTTGTTTGCTAAGGAGTAAAATGCATAGCATTGGTTTGACCTTTAGCTGCATACTATCTCTTGCCTTTATTATTCTTTTAGGAAGTTCAGCCCTCCAAGAATGTCATAAAAAAACCCAAAACAGTAAAAGTTGATTTAGTAACGGTTGACATGGTATACTAGATTTTTTTTTTTTTTTAAAGATTTTATTTATTGAGAGAGAGTGCACGCTCGAGCAGGGGGAGGGGCAGAGGGAGAAGCAGACTCCCTGCTGAGCAGGGAGCCAGACACAGGGCTCATCCTAGGACCCTGGGATCACGACCTGAGCCACCCAGAGACCCCCCCCTTAAGTATACTAAATTTTTACACTGTATTAGAGTCCAGACTGGTGAAATTTTCATTAAAAATCTTATAGTCATCTTTCTTTTAGGCCCTGGGTTTCTGCTAATTTATATAGATTTTAATGTTCCTAAAGTAGTAAATAAGGATGGACACAAACTGCTATTGTTGTATATTTTTGTATATTTTATATATGTATATAAGTATGTATTTTAATAATACAGTGGTAGTTTATTCCTTTTTTTTTTTTTTTTTTTTTAAGATTTATTCATTTTAGAGAAAGAGAGTGTGTGAGTGGTGGGGGGTGGGCATAGGGAGAGAGAGAATCCTGAAGCAGACTCCCCTCTGAGCATGGAGCCTGATGGGGGCTCGATCCCAGGACCCTGAGATCATGACCTGAGCCAAAATCAAGAGTTGGCCGCGTAACCGACTGAGTCACCCAGGTGCCCCTCTTCCTTTCTTTTAAAATAGAATGTCACATCCAAGCTCAAAGAATACGAAGAACACACACACACAAGTTACCTAATACCCCTTTTTTACTATAATGAGATGGTTTGATTGCTTTTATTTATTTTTTTAAATTTTTTAAAGCTTTATTTATTTTTGAGAGAGAGGGAGAAAAAGAGAAAGCGTGAGTGGAGGGGCAGAGGGAGAGAGAATCCCAAGCAGACTCCATGCCAAGCATGGAGCCCAACATGGGGCTTGATCTCATGACCTTGAGATAATGACCTGAGCTGAAACCAAGAGTCCGATTCTTAGCCGGCTACACCATCCAGGCGCCCCTGATTGCTTTTAAGTTGGGTTTAGGGATGGTGACTTTTTGGAGGGGCGGGTATGGTGACTTTTGGTAATATCTATTGTTCTTTTGCAGGTACTTCTTCATTCATTTTTCCTCCATTCCACACCATCATCCCTTTTCCTTTCAAAGTATAGTCATGTTAAAAAATTTAATTTACTACTGGCTTTGGAATCAAACCAGTTGAGTGCTTTGGAATTAATTAGCATTTCTCTTGTTTCTGCCTCCCAGTGCTGCATTTTAGCTTAAAACCTAAATTGATTTCAGAAGTTTAGT